GCCGCCGCGGTGGCCGGTGGCCAGCCCCCGCCCTGGGGGTACCTGGTGGTAGGTGTCATCCCGGCGCGGCTCAGGGGACGGGTCCGGCAGCACCGGCACCAGAAGGGGAAGGTGGCGGGCGGTTACACCGTGTGGAGAGGTGGAAGTGCCGCTTGTACCGAGTTGCTCTCGCTAAGGGGGGCCGGGGGTTGCCGCTGGGTCCGTGCTGGAGCAGCCAGCAGGTGGGGTGGCGCTGGTGAAGGCTGCTCCGGTGCGGGGGTCAGAAGGCAGTGCGGGGCTTAGGTTAGCGGGCGAAATAAAGCCCTGGCATGCCATTTAGTTCCCGGAGTTGCCAGGCTTTTAAAAAACTTGTTGTTGAAGGATCTTGTTTTCAGATGTTGCCCTTCTTAGAGGTCCCATAGCGTATCGCATATTTCAAGTAGTAAGTTGAATCTTGGCTATTGAAGAAATACTTTTCTTATGTGTAATGGTGAAGGCATCAGCTTTATGCTTTGAAGGCATTGAACCCATCCACACATTAGCGCTGGAGCATTAGTTCCCTTTCTGAACATGAAATAAATCCATTCGTTTATGACTTGAGTTTTCTGCCATGTTTTACATCTCAGCAATGCAAAGCACAGAACGGTTCTAGAAACAACACGGAGTGGGAGGAATTGGGGGAAAAATCCTCCACCCTGGCTGTGTAGTTAGCTGCTTTTGCATTTTCTGGTAGCGGGAAGGTAAATAAAGTACCTGTCTCTGGTGATTATTGGCTCATTCCTGTCGCCGTGCTGTTACACCTCAGTTATGTCGGTGGAGCTGCATGTGAAGCTGCCCCATGAACTGAAAAAATGGAAAACAACTGTTACTCTTTTGAAGTTTTCTTTTCTTGGAGCGATTCCCATCCGGGGCAGTGTCTTGCTCTGCTTCTCGATGGGACACCCGAGGGAGCGGCGTGGGAGCGAGAAGGAAGAGGGGCTGCTTTGCGTTCGGGTGCTGAAAGAGTTATTTGTTGGACCGTTGTTAGAGCCATCACAAGGCCCGACCACGTCCTGACCAACCTCGGACCGAGAGTGAAAGGGCTTCATTCATGTTACCCCGCTTGCTCACAACTTGACTGTGGAGCCATAGCTTGCTTTCTGCCGGGGCTCCCGCCCCGAGAGCTCCATTTCACACATACTCTCTTTAAGGCCTCTGTAAGTCCTTTGCAGTTGCACTATAACGTAGTGCAATGCATTAACTTTATATAAGCTTCCTCTCTTCATACACAGTATGTATATATAGCTAGGTGGAGAGTCAGTACTTCACGGGCTGGCTCTCGCGGGAGACCGGAAAAATGTGGAAAGAAAAAAACCTAAGAGCCAAAGTACGAGAAACAATACAAAATGTTTTTGCTGCTTTATGTTTGTGTGAGGAGTGTGGAGAGAGGCGGGGAAAAGGGAAAAAAGGGGGGGGG